TGCACTGCTGGAGAAACATGAATCCTGCCAACTTCTACTCTCAGCTTTTGAAAGATTTTTTTTGGACCTTTAGCAACAAGGATCATCTTTTATTGAAACCTCCTGCTTGCTGTGGCATTGCTGGAGTCTGACAGGCCATTAATTTGTAGTATGCTTAACTGGTAAAAGTTATACTGAGGTTATAGGTCACATTCACATGACCAGCACAGCCTTAGGGAACCCTATGGAATTGCAATCTCTCCTTCAAATGGCCCATTTGGGCCCTTTTCCCACTATTGTATAGCTTACTTATTGTTTGTTGCCTGTCGCATGTTTTTGGACAGCAAAGGACTCTTATGGTATTTAAAAGATACCGCTGGGAATTGTGCTGTCAGCACTCCAAGAACAATGAAGAAAGCCAAAAATAACTGTTTACTTTCAATCATGACAGCACACAGGCCTCCCTTGAGGCTGTCCTTTGGGTCCAGAGCAGTGGAGCAAGCCCATAGAAGGCCGAAGTTTTGAACATCAAAGGTGACCCTGGGAGCCCTGGAGAATCGGAGGTCGGCACACACCTAACACCCCAGCGAGACGTTCTTTTGAATAGAAGCAACCGTTAAAAGAGGTGTATAGATCATCTTTTCCCTGCAAGCAGGGTTCACGTTTTGGATTCCTCCAGCGGTGGCTGTCTTTGTTCCTTTTTCTCACACACACAGAATGGGCAGGACTTAGATTTTTATCTTCTCCGGGGGGAGCGGTGGAAGCCCTGCTGTCTGAGTCATTGACAACCAGCTAGGACAAGCATGAGACGCTACACGGGATGGAGTAATCCTGCATTGAATCTAGTCCATCCTATGTAATGCCTAAGAACTGGCGAGAAGCTACAGCTGATCTCTGATGGAGACTGCAAGACACAAAGTCCAGGTCCCTGAAGTGCGATTGTAGCGTGCAGCATTTGACAGGTTGTGGGAAAACTCTGACACGCAAGCCACATGCATTTCCAGGCTTCACTTACAAGCTCTTCTCCAACTTCAAATTCGGTCCAAACTTCGCTTATAAAGGCGCTTTGCTTGATGAAGAAAAACAGAAAGGTTGGAGATGTTTCCTCTGGCATCTCTAAATCTATAATGGTGGATGCCTGCGAGGGTAATGAATAGGGGAGAGATCACGCTCTTCAGGATCAACTTCTGTCGCTGTCGGAGACAGGATACAGAGCTAGGCGGACCATTGCTCTGACCCAGTGTGGCACTTTGTCTGTTCTTACATATGCCTGGGAGTCTCTGTGATGCTGTCATCCCCTTGAGGGTTCCCAGTGGCATGTTAATCACAAGAGCAGTCTCCAGGATGGATTCCAGACCGGGAGCCTAATCATGCCAGGTGCTGAGTGGCCCAGTACCTTACATGATCTGGCTTATAACTCATGCACATTTTAGAGGTGTACCATAAGTTCAAGCTTTTGAGGTGGTACCGGGGCACCTTTGAGACCTGTGCTGGGAGGCTTGGAGAGGTGGACTTTTTTACAATGTATTGCATATGCAAGCAGTGTTCGTTGCACCACCCTCTAGGCTGGAAGGGGTGTTTTATATTAATCCCATTTTTCTCTCCCTTTTCCTTTTGCAGTTTCTCAGTTATCTTAGTGCCTGTGACAGGCTGTTGAAACAGGGCTATGAAGAGGGGCAGGTGGAAGAAGCCATGGAAATGTTCCAGTACTCTGAGAAGAAGGTCAGAAGCAATTTGGTGCATTCGGAGCAAAGACGAACGTTGCTTAGGTTTTTTACTAGACAAAACGACCCCCTCCCCCCCACCTCTCTCCTCTCTGCATCCAGGACCACTTTCATAGTGGGCAATACATAGAGATATTGAGGGGTACAGCTCCAACACACTAGAAATTCAGTGCATCTGTGAAAGCCTGCTTTGCTGATGCTCCTGCTTGCTACACTTAATAGCCCCCACACTGACAAATGCTATATTACAAATTCACAACCTCATTGGTGGCTCATCTCCCTGTTGACTCCACCACAGGGTGCTCAGACCTCTGCATGGGTTCTCCATTCAGTGCCTGCCTTCCCCTGTGCATCAGCACCAGGGCTATGCCTCGATGCAGTCTCATTTGGCAGGGGGTTGCAAGGCAGTGCCCCTTGCAGTAGTGTGGAGACCTGGCCAAGAGCTTCATGCCTGTGCTGCTCTGGCATTAGCCCCACTTTTTGAACACACGCTGAGCTCTGCTCACTTCTTGTTAGGAAAGCTACGCTGCAATAGTTAACAGCCTTCCAGCTTCTAACCCACAGACATGTATTAATGATTTACCTGCAGGCAAAATGCTGTTGAAAACACTGAGGCCGGCTCTGGTACAGACTGAGGGACTGGGGGGACGGCAAAAACACTACCAACAAATTCCAGATGACAGTGTGTTTTCCTGATCTATTTTTCACGGCATTATTTCATAGCATGGACTAGTAATGCAGAAGGATTTCAGATATTGGTTATTTCCTCTCAAATATTAACATTCATCTTCCTGTTGTATGAAGCCACTCTGAAATCACATGGCACCACTCATCTGCAATAATGAAGTTACAGCCTAACATTACTGAATGATTTCTTATATGCAGTCTTGAAATGAAGAAATAATAATTCCCCACCATTAAAAATGAGCCCGTAGCTTTGTTCAGCTCACTAAGTGTCCATACAAATATGCTAGCATAATTTCAGCATTAAAGAGCAAGGCTGAAACCAAAAGTAACATAATTCTGCTAGATTTAGTTTGATTTCAGCTTTGGTGCACAATGCTGCTATTGCTTCAGTTGTAACCTTACTGTGACTATTCTCATACTGATAAAAACGGCTCATTTCTGTTACCTTATTTTTCCAGGCAGCTGAATTCCTGCATCTTTTA